AAGAAAAGATCTGTCTCTTTTTTTCTTTCTTTTTTTGAGACGGAGCTTCGCTCTTGTTGCCCAGGCTGGAGTGCAATGGCACCATCTCAACTCACTGAAACCTCTGCCTCCCGGGTTCAGGCCATTCTCCTGCCTCAGCCTCCCAAGTAGCTGGGATTACAGGCATGCGCCACCATGCCCAGCTAATTTTGCATTTTTAGTAGAGATGGGGTTTCTCCATGTTGGTCAGGCTGGTCTCAAACTCCTGACCTTGGGTGATCCACCCGCCTCGGCCTCCCAAGGTGTTGGGATTACAGGCGTGAGCCGCCGCGCCCGGCTGTACTTGGGATTTTTTACATTCTTCTTGCAGTCTCTGCCCTGCCACTTCATTTGAGGCATGATTTCTTTCTCCACATGCCCCCCATTCTGTCTTTGTCATATTACCACATCTACAGGCATTGAAAATCCTGCCGGCTAGTCTACGTGGCAGTTTTGCTTTCAACAGTATAGACTTTTTTTTTTCTTTTTGGAGACAGAGTCTTGTTCTGCTGCCCAGGCTGGAGTGCAGTGGTATGATCTTGGCTCACTGCAACCTCCACCTCCTAGGTTCAAGTGACTTTTGTGCCTTAGCTTGCCAAGCAGCAGGGACTACAGGTATGCACCACCATACCCAGCTAAGTTTTTGTATTTTAGTCTCTACTCAACGGTGTTTCATCACGTTTCCCACACTGGCCTTGAACTCCTGAGCTCAGGTAATCTCCCCACCTTGGCTTCCCAAAGTGCTAGGATTATAGGCGTGAACCACCACACCAGGCCTCAACAGTAATAGATATTTTTAATGATTTTTAAAAAACAGGCCAGGCGCGGTGGCTCACGCCTGTAATTCCAGCACTTCCAGACCCTGAGGTGGGTGGATCATCCAAGGTCAGAAGTTCAAGATCAGCCTGGCCAACATGGTGAAACCACGTCTCTAAAAATATAAAAATTACCTGGACATGATGGTAGGTGCCTATGATCCCAGCTACTCAGGAGGCTGAGGCAGGAGAATCCGGCTTGAACCTGGGAGGCACAGGTTGCAGTGAGCTGAGATCGAGCCACTGCATTCCAGCCTGGGTGACAGAGCAAGACTCCGTCTCAAAAAAAAAAAAAGGTGAAAATAGCATACTACGCTTCTCTAAATAGACGCCATTTCTGTTGCTCTTCCTGCATTCCGGAAATTCCAGCTCCCCTCTAGTATCATTCCCTTCAGGCTACATACCTTTCTTTAGCATTTTCTTTTAAAGTCGGCAGGTCAAGCACTTTGGGAGGCCAAGGCAGGCAGATCACTTTGGGTCAGGAGTTTCAGACCAGTGTGTCCAACATGGTGAAACCCTGTCTCTACTAAAAATACGAAAATTAGCTGGACATGATGGTGCTTCTAATCACAGCTACTTGGGAGGCTGAGGTGGGAGGATCACTTGAATTCAAGAGGCGGAGGCTGCAGTGAGCTGAGATTGCACCATGCAGTCCAGCCTGAGAGACGGAGTGAGTCTCCATCTCAAAGTCTGCTGGTGAGGAATTTTACACATACAAATACATAAACTATTTTATTTTACCCTATCTAGAATTGGTCAAATTTCTTGAATTTCATGAGTTTATATCTGTCTCTAAACTGGGGAACTTTTCTGCCGTTATTTATGTTAGCACAGGCTGACGCTTCCCCGTGCTGAGAACATCTGTCTTTTCACTCATTCCTGGAGTGTCCACTCCTGCCTGGGGGAGCATCAGGCTGGAGTTGCTGCTGCGAAGTCTTTTTCTGATCCCTCCAGCATCTGAGTCCTGGGGCACTGCCAGTGACTCACTGGCCTTTCCCTTGAGACTGGATCCAATTTTCAGTCCTTGGCATGTTGGGTAATATCTTGGATATTTTAAACTATCAGATGCGAGGCTCTGGGCCCCGCGAGAACGCGCCTTAGAACACTGACGCTTTCGCTTTGGCGGGCACTTGTCCCGGCTGGCTCAGGCCACCAGCCGTATCCCAGCCTCTGTGTGCAGCGGGTCCGGGTTGGCTCCATTCGCAAGGCTGTCACTGTGCGGCCTCTGTTCTCCACACTGCTCAGCTCAGACCTGCACCGAGCCACTGCTGTTTCACGCTCAGGGTGGGGGCCCCTCCTCCAGGTCTCTGTTCTGTGGGCTCCCCATACACTCAGGCTCCCAGGAGTCTTCCATTTAGAAAGCCAGGGCAGGGTTTTTCTCAGTCTTGGTTCCTTGTGCTGTCATCCATTCCACATGACTCGGGCCCTGCTCAGGGCAACAGAGCATGAGAAAACACAGGGAAAATGAGAGAGGGACCCTGCACACACATGCTCTGGACCACGGAGCCTCTGTGCCCAGCTCCTCTGTCAATACAGGTGGACTCTCGTGCAGGGTCTCAGGGGGCCATGATGCCACTGAAGGGCAGGCCCGGGATGGTTGGGGAGGAGGGAGAGGGAAGTGGAGGTTTCTCCCGCGCACTCTGTTTGCAGAAAGAGACATGGGTTTGTGTTGGGGTTGTCGGTCTCTGCTCCCACAGCACAGTCATGAGACCCCCCCATCCTCAGATCAAAGCCACACACACACACACACACACACACACGCACGCACGCAATACCCCATACACTCACCTCCACACCAGTCGTTGGTAAGTTTTAAGTTTCCTCCCCAGCCAGCTGCTGCTGTTAGCGTTTCACAATCCTCCATGAGTCGCTTTTAATATTCTGTCCAAAGGGAGAGAGGAGCTGCAGAGGCTGTGCTCCATCTCAGGCAGCCCAGAAGCTTCCAGAAGTGCTCTTCTGATTTTACAGGTGAAGAACCAGAGTCCTGGGGATGTAACAAGCCCCAGGTCCCCAAGGCAGGG